TTATGTCTCTCCAGTCTATTCACATTGGCAATAATTTTATAGATTGCTATTCTGTTCCTCCACTCCTAACTGAACTGTCTTTCTAAAAGAAGTCATAGTTTTCATGCATATGTAGTTAGGTCCATAATACCATTAAGTTTAGTAGAGGTTAGGAGACTAAGTACATAGGATGGACTTAGCATAAGTCACAGAATAGCAAGAATAATTGAAGTTGGAAGACACCTTTGGAGATCATCTAGTCCAACCTCCTGGCATAGAGTAGGGTCAGTCAGAGCAGGTAGCTCACTATTCAGCTGAATTTTAAATATCTCCAAAGATGGATACAGCTCAATGTCTTTGGGCAACATGATCCAATGCTTGACCATTCTGACAGTAAAGAAGCTTTTTTCTTACATTTTAGTTCAGTTTCAATTTGTGTCCATTGCCTCTTGTCCTGTCACTGGACTAAGAAATGCCTGGCTTCATCTTTACTTCCATCTGCCAAGTACTTATACATATTGCTAAGATCCCCCTGAGCCATGAGAAGTATTTTGACTGGGACTACAGCTGTGAAAGTAAGATAGAAAAAAAAATCTGGGGATTTTATTTGTAAACTAAATATGAATAAGGGAAGTTTATCAATAAAATAAATAGAGCATTTTTTAAAAAAGAGAAACTTAGCTTTGCTCAAAAAAACTAATGTTGTTTATGTGCTGACAACATATCTGAATTTTGATTTAAATATGAAGAGAAAAGGAATGAGGTTGTTATAGATTTGTCATTAACAGAAGGTTGTGAAGGGGTGTAATATAAACTTTGTAATTAATTCACACTCTAAATGTCACCTCAGAGGGTTATTATTAGGAGTCATTTGATTATTTGTTTTCATAAAAGTTTGTAAAGCTCAAAAATATTTCTATGCACACAGGATTTGAATGTCTATGTTAATAATAATACTAAAACTAATAAAATAACTGCAAAGAATTTACAACCCCAAACCTAAGCAAGTAAAATACACTCACTAATGCCATATGAAATACCTGTAACCTAGTGGTTTATTGTATTTTCTTTCTGTATTCATTTAATAGAGATTCATTATTTCATAGCAACACAGTCTATAATAAGTCTTTTGTAACAGTAATGGAGGTAAATCTATAAAGAACATAGTATGTGCAGAACCATATTTTTTTACTAGTGTGAAGCATATGGTGTGTTTGTGTGGATATAGACATCTTATTTTTAAAGAAAGAATATTTTCAAGGTATTTTCAATAATAATATCGTCAGTAATCTGTTGAGTCATATATTACTCTTTGCTCCATAATGAACTCTTCTTCCATAACCTAGAGCAAATCCTTAGTAACTGTGATTTTGAACAGTGAAATCTAGAGCAAATTTATAAGTAAAAATTATGAAAGTATAAAACATTCAAACACATCTTTGTGCAAGAGATATCTACTGTTATTGCTTTCCAAATTCTTGCTACTTGACTCACTGACAATATTGCCAATCTGTGTTTAAAGAATAATTTTCAGACTTGTGTAATAGCATTCTTAAATCCAAATACTAGCAATTTTTAATATTCTGATCCCACAGAGAAATTGTCTGAACTTTCCTAAGTAGTGGCATTTTCAGCTTTCTTGGGAAGGCAAGGAAGACTTTTTCCTTCTTACCTGAAATTCCTGAAATGTTCTCTTGTGGCCAAGAAGGCCAATGGCATCCTGGGTTGTATTAGAAGGGGTGTGGTTAGTAGGTCGAGAGAGGTTCTCCTTACCCTCTACTCTGCCCTGGTGAGACCACATCTGGAATATTGTGTCCAGTTCTGGGTCCCTCAGTTCAAGGACAGGGAATTGCTTGAAAGAGTCCAGCGCAGAGCCACAAAGATGTTTGAGGGAGTGGAGCATCTCCCTTATGAGGAGCGGCTGAGGGAGCTGGGTCTCTTTAGCTTGGAGAAGACTGAGAGGTGATCTCATTAATGTTTATAAATATCTAAAGGGCAAGTGTCAGGAGGAAAGAGCCAGGCTCTTCTCAGTGATAGCCAATGATAGGACAAGGGGCAATGGGAGCAAGCTGGAGCATAGGAGGTTCCATGTGAACAAGAGGAAAAACTTCTTTACTGTGAGGCTGACAGAGCACTGGAACAGGCTGCCCAGAGAGGTGGTGGAGTCTCCTTCTCTGGATACATTCAAAACCCGTCTGGACGCATTCCTGTGTGACCTAGTTTAGGTGATCCTGCTCTGGCAGGGGGGTGGGACTAGATGATCTTTTGAAGTCTCTTCTAACTCCTAACATTCTGTGATTCCTTTCAAATATTCTGTTATAAATTTGTCACCCACAATGTAAGCTTATCAGCTAGATTTCCTTAGATACTTCTTAGCTGAATGCTTTACATTCAGAATTTTATTTCAGCACCATGTCATAACTATTTAACTTAAAAAACGGGTTTGTTTATGCCTGTGGAGTGTTTTAGTGCCATCATGTGCAGGTGTTTTGCAGAACGTCTTGTGATTGCAGGGAGGGCACTGTTGAGAAATTTAAGATGGTGCTAGGTGTTTGTGCACCAGTATCTTACATTTGGAAACTGAAACAAAAGTATTCTCTCAATTCTATTCCTTCTGTGCCATTATCTTAGCTTCCCATAACTCTGAAAGAATGTGAGGTTTATGTGACATTCCATAAATGAGAGAAAGACAGTCACCCACTTTAACATCTTGATTGCGCAAGAATTTGTAGAGACTTTTTTAAGATGTGGTGCTGATAAACTGAAGTAGTTATCTGATACAATGTACAAATGCACTGAGGTTCCTTAATCCCATTGACTTCATGTCATCGGGGTTGCCTTGACATATTTTAAATCTTGTAAATTTCATATTTGTCTAATTACCTTTTAAAAATAAGGTATTAAAAAACTGACAAGCATCTTTTAGAAACAGAGTGAGATAACAGGGAATTAAACACAAGTTTCCTGGATCCCAAGTTATGCATAAATGAAAAGCAAATATTTTCCTTAGTTCTATAGAGCTGTTTACAAAAATTACTCATTAAAACTGTTTGATCATTCTTTTAAAAAAGATCTTAAATGCATTAGTAATTACATACCATTTTTTTTAATCTTCCTGGAGGTTTATTATTTATGTGATAGAAACAACTCAGTTACAAACCTCTTCAATGTCAAAAATATGCATTCAATATTCATTTTGGTATTAATTTAACATACAACAACTCACTCTCAAATATGGATTGTGTGTAGCAGCATGTTTAAGACCAAATTTTCTGTCTACCTGTTTTGTAGGTTAGGCTCCTGTACAGACTCTCCTGCTTAGAGCAAATGCTACCTATTCAAGAGATCTAATGTTCACTCAGTATCCACTAGAAATACAACTCACAGGAGAGCCATGCTACATGATGTCAACAAGTTAAACGTTGCTCTCACTTATGTTGACTTTAGTAGTGATATACATGCAAATTACTAATACAGTTACAAAGAGCAGAGTTTGGCTACAGGATTGCACACCTGTAAATGAGCCATGACAGATGTTTATTTTAGCTGTGGTAGCAGGGCAATGCAGCACTATGTAATGTAGCATTGCTGTGCATAACTACATGAGAAGGATTGCTAAGTACCTCCACATGTGTGAATTTTGTATGAATGAAACCTGCGTTGTAACTAGTAGCAAATATATTTTTTGAGAGCTATTTTAGGCCCACTCTGCAGTATCATTGTCTTTGCTATGCTGTCAAGATGTGTGAAAATTAATAATGCCACCTTCCAAATGAAAATTTCTATGCTGGCAACGCCACTCCATGTCATTCCAACTGCTTACCTGTCCTATGAGAAGAGAGCTTTGGTTGGCTTAATTTGTCTTTCAGGGAACATAGGATACCTTTACTGATAATGAAAAAAAGATTTCTTGTTGCCATATGCTGTGTGTCTTCCTCAGAACTCTGCTGGTAGAAGCTATGTAAAACATGCTTTTAATGCAGCCCTATCCGATTGTACTGAATGATCCCAAACTTCTTTAAACTATATGCCTTTTAAAGTCTTATTGGGAGATTAATTTATACAACTTTGAAATACCTTTACATTTCCCAAAGAGACTAAAGGGAACTTTTTGTATGTTAATATCAGACTTGTGAGCTAACTATATCTGATAGTTAATTCTTCAGTGGTACAAAAAGCTGTAGACCTGAGGTGAATAAAAGACTTCTGATTCTTTAAAAACTTGTGTTGGCCTTGAAAGTATCATTAACCATGAGTAAGGCTCAGGCAGACTGCATAGCACTGAAGAGATTTTAGAAGGAGAATATAAGGATATACGCACTTTGGGAGCCATAAACTATTGTCTTATAAAATGTCTATGCATTAGATCATCAGAAAAAGTCACATAAAAGAGTTTTACAAGAGATCTTCCATGATATAATGCCTTGCACAAATCTGTGCTTCTGTTACCTGCACAGTTACATTTATGTATGGGTATATATATAAAGTGTGGACGAACATACTGTTTTAGAATTTTATTCTGCCTCTGTCAACATTTTGGCAAGAACAAAATTAATAAGGTTTCCATCCTCAAAAGGAGGCTGATGAAGGCTTTCTGATATATTTGATGTGGGTCTGACAGTGAAATACAATGATAAGCTGAACTGTAGCTGATGGTCACTTGAAAAATAACTGCCTACATCTCTAACATGTATGCCTATAGTATCTACAGAGTTACAATCTAATTGCAAAGAAAAGTGATGTAGAATTCTTTATGTATACTTCTTCAGTGATACCTACAAGGGAAAAAATGTCTTGGTACTAAAAATATAATAATACTCCTAAAAAAATTCTTCTCCTTTATACGTTCTAATAGTAGTTTCACGTTAATAGAATAGGGGGAGCCAAGAGAAATTTCCTTCACATAAAGGAGTAGCTGCTTTCATCTTTTATTTTGGAAAAATGTGATATTTGTATGAACATTTTAATATTCATTGATGTATGCTAAGAACTTTTCCTTTTTAATTTGGGCTTTACATCTTCAGAGTGAGCAACAGCAGTTTAAATTTAAATTGTCAGAGAAATTTTGGAAGAGGAAATATGATGTCTCAACATACTGTTTTCTTCTTTAAAAAAAAAACATACATAATCCCCAAACACAATGTACACCCCTCTCCCCTTAGTTTTAGTCATTAGACATACTCCAGGAAGTGATCTCCATTTTCGTTCTAAAAGAAGTCAGCATGTTGCTATTGCTTCTTGTCTTAAAGTTCTTGTCCAGTTTATCAATCAGTTTTGTAACACCATCACAGTAGACTCTTTACCACTGAAATGATAAAAGTTTATAGGCACTTTAGTGGAATTACGAAAAAGCTACCACTCTTCCACTGTGATGCCAGAAAACTATCTTCTTTCTAAGTCAGGTCAGTAAACTGTACCTTGTAGACCTGAGCTTGTCTCAGTGTAATTCCAGAGTAACAAAATAACAACAACAAAAAAGCTGTGTATATTACAGGATTTATCTTTCCTTTGCAGATCAAACCAAAACTGACAGTATGATAAATGTCATAACTTGCTGGAAACAGTTGCTGTCTTTTATAATCAAAGAAATCCTGTCATATTATAAAGCTTAGGTTTATCTTTTAAAATTGTTGTTGGTTTACTTTTATTTTTATTTCACTGTTGGAGTTGTATTTAAGTGACTTTGTCAGGGTTATAACTTTCTTCTTCTCCAAACATGTCTGCCAAGATCTTAAAGCGAGGTCCCCAGTCACTCAGATAGTCATAATCCTGGTCTGCCTCTGTAGTACGGGAGTCTATAGAGCTGAGAGACTCTGCAACAGATCCATTTCCTTCATAAGCATAGGTTGCCAAGGAGTCATAAGGGGGTGCAGTTGGATCTACATCATTTTCCTGCAGCCTTTGATTAATGAAATCTCTTATGTCTGTGTTATCTTCCACTGGTGGTCTCTGACGTTGAAAACGCAAGGTGTCTGGTTTTATGTCCCTGCGTATTTTGTTATCTTCAATCACTTTGGGATTCCTCAGGGCACCTATGTCGAAAGCCTGGGTGTCCTCTTCTCCACCTCCTTCATCATCATAATGGATAACATTGTCTCTGATGTCTTCTTTAGAGGTCATCAGGGTATCTTTTTTCTTCTGCCTCCGTAGTGCTACATACAGTACCACAATGACTGTAAAGAAAGAAAATTGAAGTTAAGACATGCACAGAAATAATTTAGTACTGTGATAATACATCATTATATCTACCTTTGAAAGTTGCAAGCAATCAAAGAGACTTCTTCCTTTAGAAGATATGCTTCTACTATTCTTTTAAAAATAGCAGTGCTCTAGTCAATGAAAAGTCATTTGCTGTTTGATGTGTGAGTCTAACTCCTTAGTGCTTGCTGTACTGCTAGAGGAAGTAACAAATTTTCCTACTGGCCTGCTTTGCAAACAAATAGAACTGGACAAAAGTTCACCTTTATAGTTCAGAGAGACAGAGAGATGGATTTTTTTTAATTAATTCCTAGCAAAATAGATAAAAATCCCCAAATTTCCACATTGCAGAGAAGAAACAAAAAACCACAGAGTAAAAGGAGTAAAAAGTTATTTGGAATCTTTGAAATGGAGACAAAATAATCCTCCTTCATCTTTTTATACGGCACAGTTTGACATTTTCAGGTATCTGCTTTGAAAAATCCCATGTGATATGGGTCTGAAGAGAAAAGGTGTCCAGGAGAGCTGGTCGATTTTCAAGTATCACCTCCTCCAAGCTCAACAGTGGTCCATCCCAATCAGCAGAAAATCAAGCAAATGCAGCAGGAGGCCTGCATGGATGAATAAGGAGCTCCTGACTAAACTCAGAGACAAAAAAGAAGCATGTCATAAGTGCAAACACATACAGATAGGCCAGGAGGAATATACAGCAACTGTCTGAACATGCAGAGGTGCAGTAGAGGTGCAGTTAGGAAAGTCAAAGTCCATCTGGCATTGTGTGTCACAAGAGACATGAATGGCAACTTGAAAGGCTTTTAAAAGTATGACAGCAGCAAAACAGGAAGTAGGGAAAATGTGGGCCTGCTGCTGAATGGAGCAGGGGACCTGTTGACAAAGGACACAGAAAAGTCCAGCCTACTCAATGGCTTCTTTGCCTCTGTCTTTATTGGTAAGTTTGTCCTTCAGGAATCCCAGGTTTGTGAGACCAGAGGGAAAGTCTGAAAAAAGAAAGACTTATCCTCTTATCCTGGAAGAGGATCAGGTTAGGGAACACTTAAACAAACTGGACACACACAAGGATATGAGATCTGATGGAATATATACATGAATGGTGAAGGAGATTGACTCATGTCATTGTGAGGTCATTTGTGATAATTTTTGAAAAGTTATGGGAACTGGAAGAAGTTTCCAGGAACTGGAGCAAGTGTCACTCGTATCTTTAAAAAAGGCAAGAAGAATGAGCTAGGGAACTACAAGCCAGTCAGCTTCACCTTGATCCTGAGGAAAGTGGTGGAACAAATAATTCTAGAAACCATTTTCAAATCTATCAAGAACAGGAATGGATCGGGAGTAATCAGCATGGATTTATGAAGGTGTAATTGTGCTTAACTCACCGGATAGCCTTCTACAGTGAGGTGATTGGTTGATGAAGGGAGAAAAGTACACTGTTTTTATCCTAACATTAGAAAAGCTTTTGATGCTGCCTCCCATAACAACCTTCTCAGAAAAACTGAGAAAATGTGGACTAGACAAGTAGATGGTGAGGTGGACTGCAAAGCTGGCCAAACTGCCAGGCTGTAAGGGCTGTGATCAACACCCCAAAGACCACATGGAGGCCAGTCCTTAATGATGTACCTCAGGTGTCCATACTGGGACCACTTCTGTTTAACAACTTCATAAACGATCTGGATCATTGGATTGAGTGCACTCACAGCAGGTTTGCAGACAACACAAAACAGAGGTCATGCCACCATTCAAAGGTACCTCACCAGGCTGGGGGAATGGACCAAAAGAACTCCTTAAAGTTCAACAAAGGGAAATGCCATTCTGGATATGGAGAGGAATAACTGCATACTGCAGATGCTGTTGGCTGACTGGCTGGAAAGCAGCTTGATAGAGAAGGACCTAGGGTCCTGGAGGACAGAAAATTCACCATGAACCAGCAATGTGCCCTTGTGGCAAAGAAGGATAACAGCACTTGGGGCAGTATTAGGAAGAGTGTTGTCAGGACGTCTAAGGAGGTGAAGGTTGCCCTCTATTCAGCCCTGGTCAGATACACCTGTAGTTCTGGGTACAGCTCTGGTCTCCTCAGTACAAGATAGACATGGACTTCCTGAAGTGAGTCCGGTGTCAAGACACAAAGATGATTAAAGGATTGAAATATCTTCCATATGAGGAAAGGATGAGAAAGCTGGGACTGCTGAGCCCAGATAAAACATCTCAGGGAGATCTTAACAACGTGTGTAAGTACCTGATGGATGGAACTAAAGAAGATAGAGCCAGACTTTACTCAGTGATGCCCAGTGACAGGACAAGAGACAATGGGCACAAATTGAAATGCAGGAAATTCCACTAAAATGTAAGAAAAAAGCTTCTTTACTGTCAGAATGTTCAAGCATTGGATCATGTTGCCCAGAGATGTGGATTATCCAACCTTGGAGATATTCGAAACTCAACTGAATTGTAAGCAACCTGCTCTAACTGACCCTGCTGTATTAAGGGAGGTTGGAGTAGATGATCTTCAAAGGTGTCTTCCAACTGTGATTTGATGATTCTGTATAATATAAAATGTTACAAACTAGTTCTATTCCAAGTAGCAACTCAATGGCATTCGGTTTGTAGGTTTCTTTTTTTTCAGTAGTTTGTGTTTGGAAATACATTTCATTGAATGCAGTATCTGTTTGTAGTAAATAGGCTTTTTGGTTACTTTTAATTCCCTAAGAGCCTTGGTAGAAATAAGAGTGCTCTAAGTTCTCTTGTTGAAGTAACACAATAATGAATACAGAAGTTGGAATTATTATAAATTCATGGTCAGTTGTGTGGGCTAAAAGAACTCCTGATTCTGGTAATAATTTTACTGTCTTTTGTGTAGAAATGAGTTTGACAAGAATGACTTCAACCACAATTTTAATGACTCTGTGTCAGGCCAGGTTCATAGCAAGAAATGAAAATCCAAAAGCAGTTTTTAAATTGATCAGTGGAATAGTAAGAAGGAAGTCTGCATATAAGATAAATGTCATTGTCTTAGGTTACAAATCAGCACTGGAGATCTCATTATTTATACATTAGTTTTGCTGGGTAGTATTACCAGGATGATTGGAAAGGAGTTATTAAAGGACCGCAACCTTTTTTTCAAACATAATCTTAGCAATTCAGTGTGGTGTTCTGTGCAAAAGAGGAATTAAAATTCCTTTATTAGATTTGTATATGCAAAGAGCATCAATCGGCAGCAGAGCTGGTAAAGAGTTCTCTGACATAATTATTTTCAATAGAATATGCTTGGTTTTTTTTAAATAAAAATTGTATTTATTTCAACAAACCATTAGGGAAACCTAAACACAGTTCTGTTGAAGGCCTTCATGATCACCTAGCAAATGTGGGGGAAATTCAGGTTTCAGGTATTCCTGCTTTCTCAGACACTCTGCCATTGTAAGTGATTTCGGTATGAAAAGCATCAATCTCTCTTCTCCACAATTCATGCTGCCCAGATTAGTGGACACAAAGGTGGCATCTTGAAAAGCTTTGCTACAGCTGTGTGTTTAGAGCTTCTAGGCACTTAGCTCTGTAACAGAGAGGTTAGATATCCTGGGAGTCCTGCCTTAAGACAGAGTTCTAATTGACTTATCTCTTCACATGAAAACAAGTTAAAGCTTTTTTCATAATGTAATATTTTTTATGCTGAGGCTCACCTTCCCTCCCCCTCCCAGATGCTTTTATGGAGGAAACCCCTAAAAATAAAAAAGTAATCCCAAGGAATTGTGGTAAAGGAGATAGCATTCTTCTTGCTTCCGAAAAATTGACCCAATACTGTTTTGTTTTGCTTTAAACTCTTCAAAATGGGTGTATTTGTTACTAGTTTCTACTCCATGGAAGTATGACCATTTGCCATTCTCATTCTGATTTGAAACATTTTTATCACAATATCAAATTTTGACACAGAACAGAAATTCTGACTTTTACCTACTGCTACTCAGAAGCTTTTATGTAACCTTGAGCCTGCAGTAATCTACTTAAGTGGTAAATTACTATATTTTCCAAATGTAAAGAGGTATCCATATGTTATATTCTCTGTCTGCAGCTATTTTTGCCTATGCAAAGACATAAGGAGAAGCATGAGATACAGGAAGCCCACTGGTATCAAGAAAAGGCATAGGCTAACATCTGTTAAAATCTTTCTGCAGTCCATGTTGTGCCTGTGTAAGCTACAAAGTTGGTTTTATTTCATTATGGGTTCATTAAGGCTATATTTTAAGTAGGAGGTACATGAGTATTGACTGCTTTGGGCATGCTGTAAATAAGGCAATATTTAAATATAATGTATATCAAAAGATAATTCCACCTCATGGAATCCATACTTGCCTAAAATTAAAATGTTCCTGTAACATTTTACATGGATCTAGCCAGTCAAAATCCACATTACAATTATTTTCTTCATTCTCATTTCTTCATTCTCCTCTTTCTCAAGTTGGCATGAAATATTGGTATTTATAATATTGGTTAGTATTAAATAAAGACCCTTACTAAGTCCCTACTGATGTTACAGTCAGTAGGACTTGTCTACCTTGATAATAATATAAAAATATTAATTCTTCAAGAAAAGTATTTTTAAAAAACTGTATCAGAGAAAAAATATGGTTTGGATTCCACTGAAAGCTGATTCTCATAAACTGCCACACATTTTCAGTGGCTTTTGTTAAACACTAGATAAAGATAATAACAACACAAATAAATTCGCACATGAATAATCAGAGTAATGGACTTTACACGATTTCATGAGGACTAACCTAGAAGTATAACAATACACAACAAGATTGCAATCAGCGCTCCTGTGCTGAGGCCTACTGGTAAGAAGATTGCTTCCACGTTGCAGGACAGGATGGTACCATCAGAATCACATCTGCAAACACGGATAGTCATTGTGTTTGTGCTGCTCTGGACAGGATAACTGCTATCTTCTATCACTACTGGAAGAAAGTACAGCTCTTGCTGCCTTCTGCTGTAACCATTTCTCCTGGTTTCAATCCCAGCTGTGTTGTCTGTAAAACATGACACAGTCATTACAGGATTTTGATTGTGTACTTCACTGCTGTAGTTTGTATCACATTTAGTAATAGACAGCTATTTCATTTCTGAAACTCAGTGAATTATGTGCTTTATGTAATCGCTGTGTTTTATCATTACAGGAGGTATTTTATTCTGATTGGTACAGCTATTTTTTGCAGAGAATTAAACAGTATTCCATTTCTTGGTTAGCTTGACAGCTAAAATTTCAAAGAAGACATAAATAACAATTAGAAAAACCATTACAGGTATTAGGTTACAAAGTATTTTCAAATTTTCTTTCCTCTTTATCTCCTTATATTCCAAGCCTGTGGTCAAAAGGACCTTGATTGAACATGGATTTAGAATCAAATCTCCATCAATTAATTAATTTCCTTTAAAAACTGGAAGTAATATACCTAGACAAAATGCAAAACCCCTTCAGCTTTCCTACCACATTAAAAATAAGCACAGAAACTAACAGGGTACTTTATAATCAGTACATTTTCCATCAGTTAGTCATGAATGTGTTCATAAGTCCTAGAAGTTATGTTTTGTCATTTCTTCCCAGTAGATATTCAGTTATCACTGCTTTTCTTGAATCAAACAGAGTAGCAAGGAAATTATATGCAGATTAAAAGAATTACATTGAAAGCAAAACCAAAATGAAATTAGCAGGGAATTAATTAGCTGACAGATCTAAATGAAGGCAGCCTGCAGCGGTCACCATTTTGCCATCTCACCCATATGCTTTATTGTATCTTTAGAAGAGGTCATTTGCTGTCCATGTTATGACTTCCGTCCTTTCTTGGCCTTTTGTCAGTAGGTAGAAGGATTAAGGGCTCTGAATTCAACACTCAGATAATTGTGTGCAGTTCTGAGTAAGGACAATAAGAAGGAACCCTAAATATCCAAAATCAGATATGTTATGATAAGACACCATTGAGAAAGCACTTGACTGACAAAAAGCTTATTTCAGAAGCCCTTCTTTTATCAAAATCAAACATGACACATGGATGCAGCAAGTTCAGTAACATTTAGTTTTGAAAAGGAAAAATGTTTCAAAATTGTTTGATTCAAACCAGCTTGTTCTTTTTATGATTAATCATCTGCACTGTATAAAGAGTTTTAGATCTATTTTGACGTCATCCAGCTTAATCTTATTTCTATTCTTATTTCTATTTCTATTAATAGAATTATTTCTACATTTTTTTTCTTCTAATTAAAGCATTGTCGATCACTTTAATACATGTTACAATGCAACTAACTGGCTTTCTATTCTTTGAGAAGAATCAAACAGATTGAGCTCTTAAGTCTTTGACTTAACAATTTTTGTTGCTCTTCTATGACCCCTTTCAGTTATTCAAGTTTCTTTTGAAAATATGGACACAAGAATATGTTTGAACTCTACACAGAGCAGCCTGGAGCTGCAGTCTGAAAATTAATTTTCATGATGTGTGTGACAGTCTGGAGGGAAGGAAAAGTCCCTTTCTTACATGAGCAACTGAGTGTGCTCAGCAGGGAAGCAACCCTCTAGGGAGCAGAGAGAGGTCAGCAAAGTGGAAAGAAGAAGTTGGGTGGCTCAGTTGAAAGCACTCCAGGTCTGCCAGGGTCTCTCACTTCTATTCACAGCTGGAAGATTGGTCTCAGCCCTGCTGAAAGCGCAGTGTAGAAACATAACATTTCCCTGTGTTTATATTTATAGAGAATTCAAATGACAACCTTGAGCTTCTGTCGTGCTTCTGTCCTCATTAAGTTATATTATGAGGAAGTATGGAACCTGGAAAAGTTTATTCTCTTGGGTGCACTACAAACATATAACACCTGCTGTAATATCACAGCACCAATTAGTTTTTAGCTGTACAGAATAGCACTGTTTATTTGGCTTCTTCATGTGCTTAAAAATGTTAAACACCACATTTAATTGTAAAAGCATTATTTGTAACACAGTGAGCAAGATTGTTTCCTCAAAAAAAAATAAAATTCCTTTCACATAGTACCTCCTTGCTACTAACATAATTGCTAACTCTGAAAATAATGTTATTTATGTTTTTTAAAGGTTTCTGTAGTGAAAATACGGTTGTGTTATTATACCTTTAAATTGTGCACAAAGCAGACCTTCCTCCTTTTTTCGTAAAAAGGCAGAAGATATTGAAAAAAAATATACAGAGTTTCTACTTGAAGATATTTTCTAACAGCTCTGTAAAAATAATCAAACAATTAAAAGGTCTTTCATGGTTGGAAAACATTCCACAAAAGATTATTTAACTGTCTTCCTTATTTTTTAATACATATTATACTAGTTTCTTCTTTTTTAGTTAGAGTTAAGAAATGCTTTTAAGAGTGTGTGTATAGGTACATACACATAAACATTTATGCATGAAAAATTGTGTACTTGTTTTTTTACTCAATTTTTAATGGGAATATTGCGTTATTTTTATACAGTAGAGAAATTTTGTTAATAGACTACTGAGATCCAAAGTCATCTTGGTATCAACATTACTGGTTTAAATGGGGAAATTTAATTATCTAATAATATTTGACGAATTTCCTCACCAAACTTACATGCTAAACACACTTCACAAAAACTGTAAATGAGAAAGGTCATTGAGTTTAATTACTGAATAGCCTTTTTAAGTTTAAAGATTCTTTTGAGGAATTAAATATGTTAAAATGACATGAGAAGAACTGGAAGACTTGTATTTAAAACAATAGTTTGTAATGGTATGTATCAGAAATAGCTTGACCAGCAAGAGTACGGAAGTCATTATACCTCTGTACTTGGCATTGGAGAGGCCGCACCTTGAACATTATGTGCAGTTTTGAGCCCCTTATGACAAGACGTTGAGGCACAGGAGCGTGTCCAGAGAAGGGCAATGAAACTGGTGAGGAGTCTGGATTACAAGCCTTATGAGGAGCTGCTGGGGGAAGTGGTATTGTTCAGCCTGGAGAAGAGGAGGCTGATGGGAGACCTTATTGATTTCTGTAACTACCTGGAAGGAGGTTGTAATGAGGTGGGTGTTGGTCTCTTCTCCCAGGTAACACGTGGTAGGATGAGAGGAAATTTGCTCCGGGGAGGTTTAGATTCAATATTAGGAAAAATTTCTTCACTGAAAGAGTGGGCAAGCATTGGAACAGGATGCCCAGGGAAGTGGTGGAGTCACCATCCCCGGAGGTGTTCAAAAAATGTGCAGGCATGGCACTTGGGGACATGATTTAGTGGGCATGGTAGTGTTGGGTTGATGGTTGGACTTGGTGATTTTAGAGGTCCTTTCCAACCTTAATTACTTAAAAAAACTGGTCTTGGTGAAATTAAAGGATATTTTATTAAATAGACAGAAAGAAATTAAAGCTGTCTTTAAAGAAATCTTGACCAAAAGAGTAAATATATTTAGACATACACAGTATTTGTATTATAAGACTACATAATTAAAAATATGCTACCCATATAGGCCTTCAAATGTGTGAAAAGATTAAAGTACTTAATGTAAAATATAGAGAGGCTGTAAAGAGGTATATTTTCCTCCTTCTGTTTAAATACAGAGAACCTTTTCTTTCTTTTCAATTTTAATCATTAGCAAAATTTATCATGCTAATTTTCACAAGGAAATACAACCAAAAGCTATGTAGGGAACAGAAAATAACAGAAGCTACAGTGCAACTTTAAGAAGAAGCAAATTTAAGTATTATCCAAAATTTTAAGACCAGTGTGGCACAGATGCAAAGCATAATGAGGGTGATATGTTGAAATGCCACAACATATTAAAATACTAGTAGCTATTAAAGCCAAACTGTTTAGACTAAGCACTTCTGAAGAAGAGTGATGACCTAATGTTCCAAGAATAGAAGAAAAGGGACTTGAATCAATGGTAAGATTGTCCTTCATATTCATTGAGCTGTCTGTCTCAATAAAACTATTTGAATGGTCTCTGATAAAATGCTGATCTAAATATTTTTGGCTCCATAAGTTACTATTATTCCTGTTTGAAATATTATGAATGATTGTGGTTTCATTATACACTGTATTTACAAATCTTTAAGTGAAATTCTTTTCTCATCCGTAAAATATTTTTAGCTACCTATGACATACTAAGATAAAAGTCACAAGCTTGGGCATAAACCATTTTTATCTCATAATCCTCAAAGAGGAGCTATATAAAAAGAGAAAACAAGCATGGTTTATTTTTGTGCTGCTTCAAACTTATTTCTTCCTGAACATTTTTAATGATAAAAGTCTTAATGATTAATAGCTATCTTGTGTAATATTTATTTTGTTGGCTTTAATTTTGTATCACATAACACTGGCAAAAGTGCGTGGCTTAAAAAATAATGTGTCTCATATACATAAATGTTTTTTTTAAAAGGCTAAATAAGTGGCCTTGGCAAGTTTTTTTCATGCTGTGTATTGTCCATTTCTAGTCCTTATTAGGGCTTGATTTACTTAATTCTTAAGAAAGGAACCCTTACATCATACTCAGTATCATCTCAAATTTAAATTAAATTGTATACATTTTCTCAACAACAATACTTATACATAGTTAAATAGGAAAAGGAATGTTACTGAGTTTTATTGGATGATCTTAGGTATTCTTTGCAGAGTAATGTAAGCCTTTTTTTGTGAAAAGCTTATCATACCACAGTTCTTTAAAGAACACCTAATAGCATATCAACTTATTGTTATTTTTTTTTCCTTATTGGATTAAATTCTGGTGAAAATTTACTAGAGTTTATTAGGATATTTCAGCTGTGACTAGTCAAAAGACTAGATGTTTTAAGATGTTTACGATAGAAAAAAAAGATAATTTTTTTAAATCTTGTTCTTTGCCAGTTAGCAAAATCATTCAAGTGAAAAAAAAAATAAAAACATGATCAGTTATGACAAATATCAAGGAGAAAACTAGAGATGTTAATTATATAAATCTACAATTAAGAGTGTTGTAGGATGTTATAGTACAGCAGCACTATCCATATTTAGAATGAATTCTTTTGCAGGACTGTGCATCCTCCAGAAAGCACAACCGCTGGGTACTTTGAAAACAGTTAGAAAAGTAACAGTATTTAAATGAAGCAGCAACAGTGCCTTGTTTAAAGATATACCTGCATTGGCATATGAGTTCCTCCTGAGATCTTGAATGATAAAAAGAAGAAAATAAAACAGGTAGCAGTGGTTTTGCAGTAGGGAAATCTCAGTCTTTGGTGTTCCTGTGCCCTAAAAATTTGAATATGTGCAAGACCTAATTTATTATTATTTATTTAGTGTATGTCCTAGATAGTTTGACAATTAGAAATGTCAAATTAAAAGTCTGTAGACATGATTGTAATGCAAAATAATCATGTTTGTCATTATAATCACAGCCTGCTGCTCTGAAAGAGAGATATGGGTAAGCAACTTACTTCTGTAGTCATGAACTGTGAAATTTGGTTTGTTGGAAGCCTCAGCTGACAGTCTGAAGGAAAACCTTTGCCCAGCTGGTGACAAATCTTTGTCTGCTGCAGTGACAGTCTGTATCACCTGAAACCAGATTAATATTAATTCGGAAGTCAATTGACTCTGGTAAAAGAAGCAGTTTTGTACAAGTGCAAACTTAACATCAAATGAAACAATGAAAGTGAAATCCTGCTGGATTACTCTCACTTCCCTAATATAGTGAACAGTGGAGGCAAGAAGTCTGAATACTATAGCCTTCAGAGGGCTCCTGATGTCTCAGAATGTGTCGCTTTGACATAGCTGAAGGAAATCGGAAAGATTTACTCTATATTCATAGCAGAAGTATTTAATATTTATCTTTTGTATCAAAATACTAGTGATTGTTTTCAGGTGAGTGATTACTTCCAGTTCACTTTATCTGCTGCTACTGCTACCACTGTTATGATCGGTATATGTTGTAGTACTTCACAAAGTTGCACCCTAATTTTACAGCTTGAAATGAATTAGAGAGGGTTGAAAGATCTGCATCATCTAAGTGTGAAGGAACTTTTGGATCCCAGAGTCCTATCTACTAGATTTCAGGTAAGCACAGTGCAGTTAAAATGTTTCCTAGTAGAATTGCCACTGTTTTTTTAAAAAGGCAAGCATTTTTTTATGTAACAAATATCTAAACATTTCTAATTTTTGACAGCTCAGTGCTTATCTCAGCCTTCCCTGTCAAAGGCTCCCTACTGTCAGTGCCTGGATAAGGTACTAACTAAATGTATCTGATAAACTAGAAGTTAAATTAGGCTGTATGGTAGTTAGTTGAAACATATATTTTTTTAAAAAAAGATGAAATACGAATATCATATGAAGTCATGGACAAATATGTAATAAAGACAATAAAACTGGACTGATTATATATTACATACACATAAAGAGAAGTCACTGATTACACAGCAGGGTGAATATGTTCCTTCCGTGGCTGGCAGTAACTCTCAAACCTGCACAGTTGAAGTTACAAGTCTTGTCTTGGTATCACTATTAGCTGTTAATATCTATGATGGTCAGCCTTGGTGCTTTCCAGCACTGCGTTTAATCACACAAATTTTATTCAGAAGTATTGCACGCTAACAACTTCTGGAGCCAGCACTATTAATACTGGCATTACTTATGGTATAAGGTGATAATCTGAATCTGAAATAGGTTTTGCATGCTATGTACGTATTTGAAACTGCTTATTGAAACAAGCTTTCAGGAGGATTGTCCTTGGGGATGTGGGTTCTTTTTCTCAGAATAAGACAGGGAAACATGTGTAATGCATCCTGTTCCATTTATTCTCTGCAGTTTTACCCTTATATTTAACTGTCTTTAAGGAAGGGATTATTTCTCCTTACATAGTTACTAAATGCACAGTAAATGGTGTCTCAGGCCCATATAATCAGGGATAATAAAAATAAATAGACCAAAAAGGTCAACAAACAGAATTCCAAAAGGTGAGCATTTTCAACACTAACATTTTATTTGTAAAAGAATTTTAACCATGATGTCATTTTCAAACCCAGAAATTTCAATTCTTATAAATAATACGGAAAGAAAAAGCAAAATAGCAAGCATTACAAATTTTAAATACCTGTCCTGGTTTGGCATTTTCACATACAGATGTCTCATATGGAACTGAAATTTCAGGAGGAAACTCGTTGACATCCAGGACATTTATTATAACGTTGACTTTGCTGGTTAATAGTGGGTTACCTATAAATGATTTTTAGGAGAAAAGCATTAAGAAATACTATTTATATTTGCTGTTATCACCAGTGTCTATGAGCTGTCATAAACTGTTTTGATCCCAGTACTGTGACTTCTGAAGGCTTTTGACTTCCATTTATTTCTGGTTTGAACTATGGAGAAATCAGAAGCAAATGTCGTTTTGTACCAGACTCTGATCCATTACTCATCATGGACTAAGGAATCAATCAACATGATTATGTTTATCAGAGTATAAATTAAAGAATTTGAAGTTGTACCTGTAATTAAAGATGCAAACTTTTCTCAGATCAATTTTCATGGAGACTGTGGAAAATGCTTCCAATTATTAAAACTGAATTCTGTTTTCCACAATGGAAGATAGGAAATAAATATTTATTACTTAGCCACTGTTTACATCTTCAAGATATTAATGAGCATACCCATTTAAAAGATGGAGAAAAGTAAGAATGAAAGATATAAAGAAAAGTCTTGCTGAAAGCCAGACAGAGTCGGTGGTAAATTTAGCAGTGAAACATGTTCAGCTAGCATTCAACTTGTTAAATCATAGGCTATGTTGTAACAGTTATTTCTTTAACCGTATAGGTATATGCAAGCAGCAAGTACCTTCGTGCAAAACAAGTGCTAAAAAAGAGTATACATTATGCTTTTCCCATTGTTCTACCAATGCAGATGATCTTCATCAGACACTAGATGCATTTTATAAACAAGTTTATCTGCAAATGCGAAGTCTTGCAGAGACACAGATTCAATACAAAACAGGAAATATTTTCTTTTACTTTATGCTGAGACACCTTGCAAGACAGCAGGTACATACAAATAGTTTAAATGGTGAGGCAAAAGGATAATTATTTTATCTTTTTGCATTTAAGAAGACTGGCAGTCACTACACTGACACAGTTAACTATTCAAGAAATCTATGTTATGAATCAGGGTGGTGTAGGAGTGTCAGCATGGGGTTGTGTTTACATACAAGAACAGTTTTCTTGAATCTTCAGACATAAATAGACCCTTCAATTATTTGCAGATTATTAGCTGCTTACTCCATAGTTTATACAAATCTTTGCATTTCTGCTGTTTATAACTAACACAGCAAGGGGCAAAAATTTCTTCATAGTGCCACCGTAGAAACTTTACATGATTTCTTTCTTGTTCTTAGGAACTACTAAATGAAATGTTTTCAAGAGACGTCTGTCAAAGCCAAAAAGTATTCCTCAATGATTTCCTAGTTAAGGAGGACCAGCTGCAAGTGGTTTTACCTGTTTACAAGTTGTAGATAAACTGACCATCCTACAAACTCGGCTTGGAATCTAAAAAAGAACCCCACAAAAAACCACTACCCAAATCACATAATATTTGCAGTTTCTTGCTATGAGAATATCTAATTAATAATGACCATATCTAATAATATCTGTTTTAATCCTGATTCATTTCCAATTCAGCATCATCCCTACTTGCAGAATGTCTCTGCTGAGAAAGGCATTGTGCAGTATGAATGAAGACAGTTTGGCCTAGCAGCTGGGAATTAGGCAGTGGTTCTTTAGATACTTGAAGAGCCAAAGGAACCTAGATTGCTTGCTCATGGTTGAATTGGTTCCTTTGTAAAATAGGAAACAAAAATGTACTAAGAATTTATTTTAGTCAGTACAGGGCAGGACCCTGACTCTCAATATATACAGAGATCAGAAAAGCCCTGACTAGGCCAAGTTCAAGCAGTTACTGGCAGAAACAACCTAATGTAAAACTTCGCTTCTAGCAGTGCTCACTGCTAAGAGCAGAGCAACTCACATGGAGTAACTCAGGTTTACCTTTAGTTTCTGTGTGTTTATTTTAAGGTGCAACACTGAAAAACAGGAGTTCAGGATACATTCTTGAAACTTATTAGAGATTAATATGTTGCCATGAAAGTACAGGCATATATGTTAGTTCATTTCCTTTTAGAAATGTGTTAAAAATGCCTTTCCAGTAAAAGAATGAATGTATTTAAAGTTTATGCATCATGTACATGGGAGACAGTAGGGTTTTTTTAGTAATTTCTATTAAATGTATCCATTTCTAGAAGAAGAATTTTTAGGTTATATTTTTGAAGTATCTTACATAAATCATTTTTTCAGTGTCTTGGAACAGTGTACAAATGATGGGACCATATATTTTAAAAATGAACAGTGGGATCTGACATTTTGCCTTGCCTCAATATCATGATAGGATAACATGCTCTGGAAATATTCGCAAATCTGAGTATACTTTTCATATTTATTTTTCAGTGATGGCCCGTGATTTATTTTCTATGATTCTGTGAAATATATATTAGAGGTTAAAATCTTTTCTTGCTAAGTATTTTAGCAACATAGAATTTTATCTTCCATAAATGATAAGCAAAAAACAAATATGAAAGAAAACAGAATTACTACAGCATAAGATGGATCTACTTCTGGTTTTCAGTTTATTTATGTGATTAACTTTCTTTCTGGTTTGTGCTGAAATCAGCTTAACTACTCATGTAGTAGTTAAAAAAAAACAAAGACCGCAAGAAGATTGTGTATAGATCTCAATTCATATATAATTACAAAAACCTGTAATACTTGATGTGAATAAGAATGAAGTACTGCATTTCAAACACCACTTTGCAGATTTTACCTCTATTTTCTGTTTTTGGGTTTTTTTTTTGCTGCTTGTCTCAAAGTAAAATCTTTTTGAACCCTGTAAGCACAGTAGTAACACGCATGCTGGCATCAGTAAGTGAGTAACTGAAAACATCTGCTCTTGCCTTTTAAACCCAGGTTACACCAATAAGAAGAAAAATTGGTTAAATCATAAGCCTAGGAATTAAGAAACTGATTTCAGGATTCATTTCTGCCTGTAAATTAATAAGCTTCTTCCTTCTTCAGTTCTCCTGTCTGTAAAACAGTGACAACCCTACTTCCTTTTTTTGCCTGAGTACTGTCATCTGTTAACATCTTCATGGTTCAAGGATATTACAGTAGTATAAAATATGTAAAATACTTTGACTAATGAACTTATGAAAATCCAAGATATCTGAGAAAATAGATACTGACCACTAAGGAGAACTAGTGATTCCTTAATCCCAGTTATGGCATGCAGGAGAAGATAAACCCCCTCTTGAGATTTAGGCTGAGGTTTCTTTAGCATTCACGAAATATGGGCCTAGAGTTAGAGGAGTTGGGAAGATGGTTTGGACAGGAAGGATTATAGTTACTTTACATTTATTTCCAACCTTCACTAGTGCCTCAAGGATGAGAAAGCAGAAATAATATCTTACGCATCTTATCTATTTCCTCTTTTGTAACATACAAAACCCATTTCCATACTAGGTGATTAAGCAACACACTGGGGAACTTTCTGAGCACTAGACTGTGGTTTTGTATACCATTAAATTCTTAGAGCAGCCCTTGGCACAATTTTGGCCTGGGGCAATTAGTGGTCTTGTGGACAATTCACATGCATGTATTGGGAATTATTATGGGCAAAGGATAACTCTCAAAGAATTGATTTACATGCGGGCATCCTGTTTGGAAGGTGAGAGTGTACAATGGCATAGAAATAGGCTGCTCAGTGCCAGCTGGCTGTTGTGCTTGAAATGAATGAAAGCCATGTTTAATTTATTAGTTTGAACAAAGTCTGTGGGATCAAAAATGTTCAGAAACAGTGATCATGAAGGCTACTGGAGTGTTGATTTACTCTAAGAAAAGAAACTACAATGAAATATAATCAGAGAGTGAAAGGAGGTGTGAAGAAATTGGGAAATGCAATGGAGGAAAAAAATCCTGTAAGTTTTGAAAAATTCCCTTCCTATTCATGCACTTTGTTCAATATAAAGGCTAATTTTTTATTTCAGTGGTTGAATAAGGGACCTTCTGCATTCAGCTGCCTTCATGGCTGTGTCAGCATAGCAATCATCCCCCTGCCACTTAAAAAGATCTCTACTTTGGGCAAGCCTCTTTAACAAGGGTGACAATAAAGTTATGATATCTTGTCTTTAACATGACAGCAGGCTATTCATCACTCCACACTGGGTAGACCTTTAAGATGTTCTCAAGAGTCAGTTGTTCTGCTATTTGGAGATAGATTCCCAAACAGTGTTTAGATCAGATGTTTGTAGTTTTTTCAGAGTTAGAAATAAAGATAATAGTATAATGATACACGGTCAGAGCTGGTGATTGCATTACTTGCGTAGAATAACTTCCCTTATCCCAGTTCTCTACATGGAACCAGCAGATACTGTCCATATGTAAGATACACTGTTATTGCTGGGTAAGAAAGTCTTCCCTGGATGTGACTGCACCAGTTGGCACAAGGAAGCCGAGGACAATCAGATTTCATAATTAACTGTTTGCCAAGGGCCTCTCTTTAAGCTGTCAACCTGCACCATGTCTGGTGTAAGCAGGGATGAAGGTGCAGGACCTGGATTTTAGGGAAGAATAACCTCAGTATGTTTATTTTATTTATATATATATATGTATATATGAATATATATGTCAAATAAATGCAAAATTAATTTACAAATTCCTAAACAACCAGGCTTTTGAACAAGATTTTTTTCCTCACAGCAGGTGATCACAAACATTTACTTTAATAATCACAAGGTAATTCTCTTCTGCATTATTTTTGGAATGTATTTCTTTAAAAAGTATAACTTTTGGTGCTTTAGTGGTAATAATAGTCAGATTTATCAGCTTGTAAGAAAAGTCTAAATGGTACATCCATATCTATATTTACATTTATCAATTTCCTGCTGCATTGTTTAGCTATCTAAACTGGATGCCATTTGTGCCATTGTTCGAAAGGTAACTCGATTGGTCAAAAGTCATAATATTACTTCAAGACTTTACTGGTTGTGAGAAAAAATGTAACACAAGCATCATCTGTGATTCACACAGGGTTTCATTTTGAAACTATAAAGAACAAAGGGGACCAATCACTTAGAAGGCCTCAGGTCTTAGGCACAGGAAAGGAGTCCATTCAAGCCTCATTTTCCACATATATGGTAAAGCAATTTTTATTTCTTTTTCTCGTTATCTGGAGATAAAGCTAGTGGTCTTTGTTTACAATTGGCTTATTCAAGAAAAGCTAATTTGCAGAATGATCATTAGGAAGTGTCTAAAAGGTGTTTTGGGTTTTTTTGTTATTTTTCTCTCACAGTGAGTAGGCAAAATATATATTTTATCAATAAAGCTTTTTAAGTAACAGAATTTATGTCTGTGACTAGTTTGGAGATGGTTTATTTTAAAGATACAAGGTAATGAAGAACTGAAAGTACTTAAGTAACAATAGTGTAAGTGAGGCAAGTTTATGCAATTGATTGACTATCAGACCACTTTCCTTACGTAATCAAATACATGCCAAGACACTGTTCAGTCCACTTTTTCTCTAATAAGAGATGCCCTTTTCAGTGTTTCTATGTCAGCACTGAACAAAAGTAACCAAAAGACTTGTATTCAGAGGGTGGTTTATGTCTACAAGTGTTTAAGTTTCATAGGATCATGAAGGAGGAATACTACACAGAAGCATGGCAATGAATAAAGCTGCAGCTACACAATACATTGGAAGAAGGAAGTTCTTACATATTAAAAAAAACTATGTAGAAGAAGACACAAAGACAAGAAACAAGCAAACAAAAAAAACCAAACCCACCACCAATCATATAGCAAAAGAAAACAGGTGGTTACACATCAAGTCTTGGGCAGAGAGAAAACACATGAGCAGAGATGCAGCACACAGTTGGATTTATTTAGAGCCTTAAATGTGTCTTTAAATTTTTCTACCTTCAAAAGGCAGATTGACAGGCCTGTTAATTGACTAACTTAGTTTCATAAGGAATGAATTGCAAAATCAGAAATAAGAATTGGAAGGTCTCCATACAGGTCCTCATGCTCTTTGTGCTGTTAATAGGTTTTTCAGCTTCCAAGGGAACTATGCCTGCGTGAGAGCTACTAGAAAAACCTTACTATACAGGGCTGTTTGAACATCACACTTAACCAGTGAGTCTGGCAAAATATTTATTGGTCCTTCTTTAATAACCTCTTCACAGCATATTTATGCCTGAGCATACATTTTTCTGAAAAAAATAACACATTAACATATTAATTCAGTTTGTGTCATACTTACTAACTTTACTTGCAATTATAGAGAAATTGTACTGTGCTGTGCTTTCTCTGTCCAGTAATTCATTAGTAGCAATGGTTCCTTCAGTAGCATCTATTGTAAAGTAGCTGTCCACATCATTCTTCCAATCGATGAAGTATCTGTATGGGAAAAATATTAAACAAAGTAGATGCAAATGTGCAAAGATTACTCATTTATCAAAACAGCAGTCTAGCTGGCTCAAGTTTTGTTATTTTTCTTTTCTCAGCTATTACCATCTGTGCAGGAAGAAGACAATAAAGAATGATTTGTTAATTTGTTTTCTGCAGAATTGAAATGCTCAAGGGAGAATGGGATATAATAAAATATTTAGTATTTTTGGTGTTCAGATTATTTGAAATCTTTGAGCTTCCAAGAAGTTGATGCACAGTTTCTGTGACCTTGATCACTTATACCAGTCACTTTGGAAAGCATTAGATAGGCTTAGAGGAAAAAAAGAGAAAAGTTATGTGAAATAGTGCTTAAGGTATGAATAGCGATGAAGAGTGGATCAGGTCTGATCTCTTTACATCCTTTTCTAGCTGCAGTAGGCTAGAAGTAGCCTCACTGGGCTTGTAAAGAGATGTCCTATTGAATGTATATAGGTGTTTGACACAGTCTACTCAAAGATCCCTTACCTAACGGATGTTAAAAGAGTCACGGTATGGAAGATGGAGAAAAACATTCCCCCACATCTATAGGAGCAATAAAAGGCTCTTTGCCTTTGGGAATAGGCAACTTTCACTTTCACTGGAGCTGTGGGGAACATTGGCTTTTTATTCTCCCGAGCCTTTTTTTTGTAAAAAAGCATCAACACAGAACTGATTCAAAACTCAAAATGTGCACTCATTTGTCACTTTTCCCTAATAAGGGCTTAATACAAAGTGGAGATGTACTTGTAAATGTAACTGCTTAAAAGCAATCTGATAATTATTCCAAACTCATTTCCCTTAAATGCTAATTAATTTGCAAGTCTATTTTCACGTTTGATGCTACTGTTTGTAGTCATAACAGCATAATAATTTTTCTGATGCAGTGCCACCAGACACTAATTTCGTTTTTGTGGTTAGTCTCTTCATACCTTGATGATGTTTCTCAAAAACTAGGCAGGATGAAACTAAGAAAGCCATTTGTGTACAGTGGACAATAAAAACAAAATGGCACTCAACATCAAGTACATTTAGATCATAAAGGCCAGAGGACCATGCCTACCTATGACACCTCATTGCATGTAATCCGGTGAGAATAAGAAAAAAAATAGTATTCTCTTCTCTGATTTGTGTGGTTTATGGAAAGAATATATAGGGAATGTAATGACAAGCAATGTGTTTATTGCTGTAGAAGAAAGCAATGGTAGAAAGGGGCATATAGTGTATTCTCAAAGAAAATATCTCAGATTGGGATTCAAGAATGTCAATAGCTCAGGAAGACTTGAATAGTAAAAATATCACAAATAAGGTGCCACGCTCCTTTTGAGAATTTTGTTTAATCAAAATCACAAGAAAATCCTATCTGTAGATGAAATAGGTTATTTAATCAATTGACTGGCATCATTACCAGTTCACTGCTTTATTTAAAAAGCCTCAGAATTTGCTAAAGGCAGCATGTATCTTTTCACACAGCTGAGCCGAGACATTTGTGTGAATAAGATAATATTGCCTACCCACATTTGTAATTTCAGTCTCATTGCTCAAAATTTGGTTGGCATAAAAATTATGAAACATACATAAGCCATTTATTAGAAATATTATTACACTGAGATACTCACTCAGGAGCAGTAAAATTAGTCTTTCAGGCTTTGTATGTTTAATACATTATAATTTCTTCCAAAATTAAATATGCAGCCACACATAAATAAATGGGATTGAAGCATGAGAAAGTAACTTTGCTTATCTTTCCCCTTAGGAAGATGAGCTTTATCGAAGTACCCTACACACCACACTATGAGTCAGTGAAAAAAAGTTCAGGACCTAATTCAAAGCACTGTGTAGGTGACAGCCTCTCTCACCAGAAGGCTTTGAAACTACAGAAAACATACTCAGTTTGAACACTGTTGTGTTTGATGTTAAGTTCAAGCATGAATATTTGTAGGATCAGAATCTGATAGTCTATCTGCAAGCATTCACACAGGTGATTAACTTCATGCAGAAGCCCAGCATGCCTACTTCTAAAGATAAGCATCAACAGGATCAAAGTCCACAATAAGCACTGCAAGATTAGCACTGTGCCTGCTGAAACTAATGGCAGAATTCTTCTTGGCTTAAGTGGGATCTCTGGGAACTATACTGTTTGATGGAAACAGAACTATTACAATTTTTCCAAATTCATTATCTGCGTCTGTCTTTTACTTGGAAGGAATGCTTTCAAGAAGAGAAAAAATGGAAAAAGGGTCTGCAACCAGAAAAATGGGTAACTTTCCAGAGATAAATCCAGGTATCTGAGACGTAAAGCATGACATTTGTTGTTAGACTGTGACACAAAAAGGAACACTATTGAAATACTGGTATTAGGACAGTTGTCTAGATCTTCTAGTCATGGTCTAGCAGTTTGAAGCAACTGAAGTTGGTTGGTTTGACTGCTCAGGGTCCCTGCAAGACAGATCATGGATAACTGCACTAATCCCAAGAGGCAGCTTTCTCCTTGAAAAGTTAGGAAGAACTGACACAACCTTACTTTTTGACATAGGACATAGTAGTATTTTTCAGAAGCACCTAAACAGGCTTGCCTGGCATCTCTGAGCACCAGGACATTGATATATTGTTCATATTCCCTGACGAGGAAGAAACTTTGAACTATATGTCTCCCTGAATATACTTCCCAGCAGAGGATTGTATTCCAGATTATACTACTGAAGTGGGGGGATATACCTTTGCTAACATTGTCTGCATCTTTCCAAGATCAGTTATATAGGATAAAAGAAACAGAATGCAAATATTTGTTTTATAAAATAATGAGTCAAGACTGAAGGAATCTCATATAGAGTGTTCACAAAGACACATACTGCTCTCTTAGGAACTCAAAGAAAAATTCCCATTCATCTTGGCAGTGTGCTCATGGAGTCGCACAGAGCACTCCCCTGAAAGGGTTCATCTTCTTTTGAAGAGCAGAGGACAATGAGAAAGACTGTGTCGACTCTAGCTGCAGCACAGAATGCAGAGTGCTTGATGAACCGCTGTTGAATACATGAATGACAGCAGATCACCCTTGTGAGGATAACAGGATCTCTGAGCCATCAAGCAGACAACTGCAGTTGCCTCAGACTGTTATACCATGAATAAAAGAACTGGACAGCTGTCTCGCTGCTGCTATAGAAACAGGCGTGACAACACACTCAGAAGGGATGGAAGGTGGCAGGAGGCTAAGGAGGCTGTGAAACTCAGGACTTGGGTTGTATTTTCTGGTCATAAAAATGCAGAGTGGAAGACTTCTCCTGCCTAGCAGGTATGGCCTTGGGAACAGCAGCATCTATTCTCACCAAAAGTTTATGAATCTTGTCAAAAGTCTGTGGTTGTTATTATACCTTGATTGTGACAGCAGTGGTGACACAATGCAACAGAGGAATCGTATCATAACGTACAGCATGCAATAACTTACAACAACAATTTCTTTTTTTTTTTTAGTTAACACTTAAACACAATACAGAGTATTCATTTGTGTGGCCATGAGTTGTCCCTTAGTAGGGATTTCAACAGCTGTTCCTAAATTTGCAGAGGAAAGTATATTGTGACTTGAACTAAGATCAGAGGGGAGCTTATGAGAAAGTTACAAGGTCCTTTACAAGGTAATAGCCTTTTTTTAGTGTCTTTCAAAATCCAGCTGAGTATTCTAGTCTTGCTAGTGTTACCCTGCTAATGAATAACCTACAGTTTCGTACTAAAATCTCTGTTGCATTCCATATACAAACATGTACATATAAAATTTTCTGTTGATATTTCTACCAACTAAAATATATTACAGCCACCATTGGTGTTCAGTATCATTTTCTCTTTTCAGCTCTCTTTTGAAAGGGTTCCAAAGAAGGACAGTCACAAAGTACTGGCCTAAATACTTTTTTATGTTTTTCAGCAACATAGAAACACCTCCATATGAAGTGTTTGTGGCTGCTGGGATTGTTCTGGTGATGGAAGAACTCTCAGGTCTTCTTTAGAAGAATGTAGAGACAAGAAAAAATAACAGAGAATCAAGAAGTACCAGGAAAATTTGCCAGATGCACCAAGTTGGCACATGGAAATCTAGGTCACAAAGTGTAAGGTCTCTCTTATGCATTCCAAGCCCAGAGGCACCCTAGTATGTTAATTCTTGCTTATGCTCACATGTAGCTGGCAGCTACATCTGTCATGGCCCGCTTTGAAAAGTGAGCTCTTTTATCCCAGCATGGCGACAGAGCAATACAAATCACTCAGGAGGAGGGTGTAAGCAATTTATTTTACTAAACAATATATATGCCCTTAAAACACTGGATTCAAACTTTTAAACAACACATAAGTGACGGCGCACCGACAAGATACCGAAACAGCCCAAAGTTACCGCAACACTACACAACTCAGCAACACTAATGCTGCCTTAATTAAAACCAAAACCAAAACCACCAGCTACAGCTTGCTGCAGCCGAAAGTGTTGCAAGAAGGAAAGGGAAAAAGGAAAAGAGGATGAGAAAAGAAGAGAGAAATAGTTAAAAGAGGCATGTAGCAGGCCTTAACACGTCCCTCACCTGGGCAAGCCCGGACATGCTTTCCAGCACAGCTGCTCCAGCCACTGGGAGGTTGCTCCTGAGAATCACCTGCATTCAAATCTCTTTTCATCACAATATCTCTGCCATATCACTGCCTATGAGATACATGAGAGGACCTGGAGAAAATATATTTGTTTCCAGAAAATTTTCTTTCTGATACTGGACCTGAAAGATTAATAAATGGAGCACTTGGTAACATGACTAAACTCTGATTGTCTGAAATGGAATATGCAGTTCTTAAAATTTGTTCATGATATTACGGCCATATAGTTCAAGTCAGGAAATGAGCAAGGTAAGACCTATGTGAGTGTGTGTGTTTTAGAGGTAAAGTTTGCTTTAAAGCAAGAGTGGGAGGATGTTGCTTTTCAGTATGGATGGATGTTGTATGGA